CTTGGCGGCAGTCTGGCAAGCCTTCAGCTGCTCGAGGTACCAGTTGCAGATCTGCATGTTGCCATTGTTGTCGTCCATGCACTGGGTGAAGGACTGGGCGGCGCCGGAGCAGTTGTTCTGTTGAGCCCACGAGTTCTCCTGCTGCGCGGGGGCGGCCTGGACCTGTTGCTGGGGAGCGGCAGCAGGCTCGGAGGAGCCGCCGCTGAAGAGGCCACCGATGGCGTGGCCGACGGAGGAGCCAATGGCGACACCACTAGAAGAGGGAACATTACGTTAGCCGTGTGTTTCTGTAGATGATGCTCGAACCGAGGTTTGGTCCCTCGGGAGGGCATCCGGATGCCAGATATATAGGCCGGTCCTCGGAGGAGGAAATCGCAATTCTACTTACGCAGCGGTACTGGCCATCTGTCCGAACAGGCCGGGGCCCTGAGAGACGGGAGCCTGCATAGGAGGAGCCTGGGCCTGCATCGGGGGAGGAGCAGCCATGGTGGCGGCAGGCCGTTGCTGCTGGGGAGCGGGAGCGGGAGCGGTAGGGCGCGTGGGAGCGCGGGAGACGGGGGCACGTCCGGCGGATCGGTTGCGAGCCATTGTGGCTGATTTGTGTGTTGTTCTAGGGATTGATGGAGGGGGAGAGAGCAAAAGCGAGCAAGGTCGAGGAAATTGGCGGTGATGAGAAGGTCGTCGTTTGGAGGGCGGAGTTTGACGGTTTTCTGCTGGAAGAAAGCCGAAGCTGCTAGAGGTCGGAGACTCGGAATTTCGATGTTGGGGTTGGCCAATGGGAGAAGAGAGATTTGCATGCTGTCAGCTACCGCCCCGTTTGATGCATCGATTGGCTCACGAATGCATCTGGCAGCCTGCGGCTAAGCTTGTACCTCTTCGCTGGCATTCACCGCAAATCGGTACTTGGCCCGTGATCCAGGCACTCTGATCCTTGTGACCTGTCTACGAATTACGATGGGCCGCGGCGAACCCCATGACTCTTCACTTAGGTAGTTTCTAGATAAAATGGTTCTTGCTTTCTATGTCCAATCTGTTAAAAGTGGTATTACTCAAAATTATTTCCTAACTCCGGGGCCATAAGCCTCCCATACCCGAACGCCAATGTTGGTTGTCCCGTGGGCTGTTCACAGTCCAAGTACCAACAATGCCAAATAACCAGCAAAATGCAATGATGCAGTTTACAAGTGCAGGGTGTGAATGAAACACCCAAAAGTCGTCACTCATAGAAGAGACGGTGCACCAGTGCGAACTCTACTAATGTTTCTTGCCCCTGTGTTTGTGCTTCTGCTTCTTTTGCTTACCGCCCTTGGAACCATCTGCGGGTGATGATGCAGATGGACCAGGTGAATCCTCGGCAGGCCGCTTCTTGTTAGCTGCTTTCGAAGCTTCCATTGACTTGAGCAGCGCCTTGGCTCGCTCCTCGGCAATCTTCTCTGCCAGCTTGCTGCTCAGAGTCTTGCTATTGCTGCCCTGTCTGTTTGTCAGTATGCAAATTTGAGAGGGAGAGAGAACAATCAATGTCGTGCATACCAGGTCTGCCTTCAGGATACGTGCCGCAGCTTCCTGGTTCACGGTTGTCTTTCGTTCTTCCTGGGGCGCCTCTGCAGCCTTGATCTTTGCAAATTTCTGTTGGATTCTCTTGAGCTCAGTGAAAACAGCATGCTCTTGGGCATTAACATTCTGCAGCTTTAGTGACGCTGATGTTCAAGGCATTAGTAAATGAACGGATCGGGGCCGTGGGTAGCGGGCAATGGTAGATCGGCATACAGAAAAGCAATGTCTCGATAGTATATGCTGTGAGTGAGAACAGCTTCGCCTTGTCCAAAAGAGGGAGTTGGGAAGGCTTCTCAAGCGTACGTAGGAGAGGCTGCAGCGCATCTTCAATGCCGTCAATCTGCGCGTCCAGCCTGTCAAGGTCTGGCTGCAGGCTCTTGACGTCCGACATGGTCAGATACTTCTCTTTGGCTGACAAAATCTCAAATATTTGGACGCTAGCTGCTCTCCTTCCGCGCGTATGTTGAGTTCTTTGACGATTATCCTTCCTCCAGATGTCTGATAGTGTTTTCGTTGTTGATGAACATCCAGTGAAAATTCATATATCGAGGCGCTAAGTACCGACTCTTTTTTTGTGGGGCCGACGAAAAGTGCGGTCCATGAGAGATTGATTTTCAGCTAAAGCGATAATCTACCGCTCAACCCGGCCAGACGGGACAAAATACGCATGCGACACCACTCGGCGAACAATTCTATGATTTCACTCAATCGCCACTCCCCGGTCCTCATATAAAACCGGTTTCGATTGGAATATACCACTTCTTCCACCGCAATGGTGTGCTGACGACTCGCTCTCTCAACGACGGCCCCGACTCCTCTGTCCCGTCGATCGAAAACACCCTCAAGCCACACAGCACAACCGCCAAAGTGGCGAGACTCACGATCTCGCGGTTGTCCGCGCACGCCTCCCGCCAACCGCTGCAATGTATCCGGGCTAGGCCCGTAGCAGGTTGCGGGTCGTGCAGGCAATATGGCACCGTAGCCTCAGGTGAACCAGAGAGGCAGAAATCCTCAGCGGCCCTGCCAGAAGCAGGACCGGCCACCCGCTCTCCCTGGGCGGCAGCTCTAGATACACCGACTCGACGACCGCAACCCTCTCCCAAATTTTACGTTCCTTCTGTTCTATTACCAGCCGAGGCCTCGAAATCTCCCTCTGTACACAAGATCCATATTCTAGGGGAAGACGAGCGATCAAAATTTATAGCGCACGCTCTATCGGGCGTGTACGAGTCGGTGGAACTTTTGGGCTGGAAAAGAACGCCCTCACGTTACACAAATATTCAGAAAACATCGAAAGGAAATCGCCGCGAAACGTCGAAGTTCGAAAGGAACCCCATCCAACTTAACAAAGCCGCCGAGGAAGATAATTCACCCATCGACCACCTTGTGATCAGCTCCAAGGCGTTTGGTGCTGAGTCGAGCCTCGACCAATACAAGCATCGCCTCCGCGAAGACACCACCGTGTGTGTGATGACCGAGGGGCTCGGAGTCCTGGACGATGTGCGGGCCAAGATTTTCAACGGAACGTTCCAAATGCCCAACATGCTGCTCGGGCACATGAGCCACAAGCTTGCGTTCAACCGAAATTACAATTCAGTAAAGCAGCTGAAAGGCGGCCAGCTTCTTATGACCCCGCTTCCAACGACGACAGTCTCTCACAGTTCGATCGAGCGCAAGACAGAGAACCGTACCAACTTTGTGGAGAGCTTCGGCAGGGCCAGGCAGCTGCGAGGCTCTATAACAGAATACGATTCGTGGCTTCGCTTCAAACTTCCAAGCGTCATCTTCGCTGCTGTTGCGGATCCAGTCTGCGTTCTACTCGATCTACCATACCACGGACTGTTGCAGAACCCTCCGGCCCAGCGCATGATGCAGAGACTTTTGGACGAGATTACCCTGACGCTAGAAATGCTACCCGAACTTGAGTCCTCAACAGTAGTGCGGGACTATGTTAGAGGAAACCTGATCAAACGCCAGCTGTACAAGAACATCATGGCGAAGAGGGACGCACAGAGCTCACTCCTTTACCAGGTGCAACATGGGCACCAGACCGACATCGACTATCTAAACGGATATTTCCTCAAGAGAGCAAAGCGTCTCGGGCTGGACCTAAGGATGAACAAATTAATGACAGACATGGTCAAGGCAAAGACCCTCCAAACGCGGCAGCGCATCAACACCGAAGTTCGCATTGAGGAAACGTCGCTGTCGCCGCAGCATCAAGGCAGCAGCTACAGGCATTACTGGAGCGCGTGAGCAGCTGGTTTACTGCTTGACATATGTATTATTGTCCTGGTTTTTGGGTAGCATTGTATAGCGGGCGTCCTGGATCACCATAGAAATAAAATAAAACAAACAATTAACATGTCAAACCCCAATTTCTCCTAGCCCAGATCTAGAACTCGCCTTCCTATGAACTCAATATCATTTTAAAGGCATGCAGCTCGTCGCAAACTGTTCGTTTACCGTGGCAGGCTGAGCTCGTGCCATTTTCAAGGACCCTGGCGTCAGGCACCACTTTGGCACTTTCCCCATGAATCTGGTCATGTGATGTCACGATATGCCCCTCCATACCTGCTTCGACCCCACGATGAACCTGAACACAACACAAGCTAAGACAGAAAAATGGCCGACTCAGACTTGGAACAGGTAGGGAAGGCTTACCCGTTGTTCTGTTTCTTTACTGATATCTTTCCCAGATCAGAAAAGCGCGTCTAGAGCAGCTCAAAGCTCAGCAGGGAGCCAGCGGTGGTGGCGGTAGTGGGGGGCGATCTGGTAGCGGCGGCGGCGACGAAGAAAACTCAAGAAAGTACGTCTGCTTCACAAGCTCCCCTTCAATCCTAACCCTAGATGATCAGAGGCTAAGCATCGGTCGTCGTACAGGCAAGAAGAAGCCCGCCAGCACATCCTCAACCAGATCCTGCACCCCGAGGCAGCCGACCGGCTCGGCCGAATCCGACTCGTCAAGGAGTCGCGCGCGACCGACGTGGAGAACCGGCTGATCATGCTCGCGCAGTCTGGCCAGCTGCGGCAGAAGGTCACGGAGGAGCAGCTCAAGGACCTCCTCAACGCCGTGGCGGACAAGAAGGAGGAGGAGAAGATCGTCGTGAGCAGGCGCAAGGGCTGGGACGACGATGACGACGACCTGCTGGATTTATAAGCGTTTTTTATCATGGCTCGCAGAAACCCCAAATCTGAAAAAATTGAAATACCCTAAGGGGACCTTTGATATACTCGTTAGTCGAGCGAAAACTCGACGAGGTGGGAGAAAAGTTGGTTGGTCCAGGCCCGCGATTTGTATAAATGCGATATGGCTTTATTCATGGATTATGACGATATGATCTAGTAATACAAGCTCACGCTGCTATGGTGTTTTGTCACAAGATGTACACATGAAATGTCCAGACGTCTGGGGTGATGTGCTCCCAAGTATAACGGTCATTTACTCAAATGGCGCGCGACTTCTTCAACTCCTCCAGCCGCTTTTTTTCTGCTCGCGCTCTCTTTCTCAGGTCTCTCATGTCCGGAGGACGCTCAATGCCCAGCTCCTCCCTGAGCTGGTCCACGTCCCTCTCTAGCTGCTCCTCCCAATATACGTTTATGACCTCCTTGCTCCGTACGCCGTTCTTGACCGCCCAGGGAAAGTACGTACTCCAGAATCGCTTCCTCTCGGCGGGCTTCATGGTGGCAACGGCGAACATGCTCAGCCCCGTCATGGGGAGGAGGGTGTTTGCGAACTCGAACGTCTTGAGAGCGACCTCGCCTTCGCGCACGATGGGCAGGTTGGTAATGGCATGATAGAAGTCGTGGCACTCGCGGTATCGCTGCATGACGTAGGCGCACTCCTCGTCGTCGATGTAGCGGACCTGGGCGCGGGTGTCGGAGGAGACGCCCTCGCGCTCGAGCCAGCCGAGGTAGGCCCTGCCAACGGAGTTTTCGGGGAGGGAGCGGAGGTATTCGGGAGTGAGGGTGGTCGAGTTTATGCGAGGGCGGTCCTTGAGGATTCGGCGGCCGGTAGGGTCTACGAGCATAGCGTCACGCAGGCGGTAGATGAAGTACGGCGTGGCAGTCGCCTCGCCGAGGGCAGCGATCAGGTCTGGTTCGGGTCAATTAGCCAATTGGGCGCAGAACGAGCGGCTTGGGGTAGTGCGTGCCATGGCGGTATGGGTCGAAGAAGCACCAGAGCGCAGTGCTCACGGCCATGCCTGCCCGCTCGACTCGTGTGAGCGGAACATGGCCGGGATAGTTGGGCGGCGGACGGTTGAGAACGGAGAAGGGTCGGGCAGATGGTGTAGTGCACACAGCGCATGTCCTTACCAAGGAGCGCGAAACCGCCTGTGCTTTGCACAATGGGCGGAGCTTCAGTGCAGCCACCTCCATGAATACAATTGCTCGCCTTCAATTGAGAAATACAGAGGTCAGAATCTAGGTGAAGTCGTACGGTTTCGACCTATGCCTGGATGGCTTCAAATTAAGTGGGGCCTCAAAGCCCCGAAATCGAATGACATCGTCAATCCCGCACTCCTGATATTTCAGCTACCCTGTAGCATCAACCCTGAAAGCAACTGATCCAATGGAATCCTTGTCAGGAATATAAGCTTGTTACTTTCTTTAGTCAGGTATTTATCACGGAGAATCAATATTTTGCTGAGTTTCTTTTTCTAAAATTTTGATTCGATCATGTGAGCCACAGTCATTTGGCTGGGATGACTCTTAAAGTTTCATAGCATCTTGTTCATGGCTTCCTGTCACCACAAAAGCCATGCTCCCAACATTCTCCAATCGAGACCACGGAATGTCGATAGCATCATGTTGAGCTAACGCTTTATTTATGACTATACAACTTTTGCATCTTCCGTATATCTGAGTGTTGTTTCTATCACGTGATTTTTGCTCGTGAAAATTGGTGAAATTAAATCCACTAGTACAGGGTACGATTGCTCACAGGTCTTTTCACTCCTCAGATAACTTGTCGAAGATGTCGCTCACGTCGAAATACCTTGCTGTATACAATGCAGCTTCGTTCTCGCTATGGGCGTACTTGGCGTTTCTCAGCTTAAAATTGGGACCGTCGCTATATGCGCAAGGTCGTCTGTATGACCTCTACGAAGCGCTCCTATATCCCTTCTTGACCGGGACTCAATCACTGGCGGCCATCGAGGTCGTACATGCCGCTGCAGGCCTGGTCAGGGCCTCACCTGTTACAACTGCCATCCAAGTCATCGGGAAGAATCTGGTGGTTTGGACGGTCATGGTTCAATTCCCTGAAGTCATTGTCGGTCAGGCGAACCAGGACTCAGTGGGGATATGGGGATTTCTTGGATGCGTGGTATTTTGGAGTCTGTCCGAGATTATTAGATACGGCTACTTCACCGTGCTGTTGCTTACGGGAGATACTCCGTCTTGGCTCAAGTGGCTTAGGTATGACGCCCTCCTATAGGCCCTCAGCTGGATTTTGGTTCTGAAGCTTATGCCTCATCAAACCCGCAGATACAGCGCTTTCATCGCACTATACCCCCCAGGGCTCTTCAGTGAAGCATGTCTTGTATTTCTCAGTCTGTCCAGGGCCGAAAATGTGAGCTTGCCATACCGAGCGTATTTGGTAGCTGGATTTCTGAGCTACATTCCTGGTAAGTTGCTTTAGGTGGTGGGGAGTTTCAAAGTGCTAATATTAGTAAATAGCGAGCTACATCATGTACACATACATGTTGTCACAGCGCCGTAAAGTGCTTAGAACCCCTGAAAACGTGGTTGGAATTTAGGCCTCCCAGAGATGATAGGGTCGCAACAAGAGACAGAAAGGGCAACGACAGTGCTGCGGCCAGTGCATATCCGTGTTGGGGCTTTCTGTCTGAATCCCAAAAGTATTTAGTCATATAACATAAATCAACAAAGATACGAATGACATAGGACTATGATGCTACGTTAGGGACAAAGGTGGCTTTGGTGCCCTACCACCTATCTTCGGCATGCCCCTTTTGGCTCCACGCAACATTTGCGAAGAGATGAGGGCCATTGGTATGCTCCCTGTCTGGATAGTAGGCCACATGTCTTCGTATCTTCGAACTTAGTAATTCAATACTGCAACGTGAAGAACCTTGGAATTAGCTGCATAGCCACCGGACGCTCAAGTTGACCCAATGTTGAAGATTACGTCTTAGCTTGGGCAATTCGCAGCGTAACGCCAAGGTCGGGCGAGCCTTTCCAAATCATCAATGATACCTCGGGGAAGGATTAGCTTCCCATAACTGGGATATGAGACAACCGGTGGACAACAAGGTAGGAATAGCTGTAGGTTCGAAGGGTCGACGTGTCGACCTTGTGACGAGATAGCGACATTAGCTGCTTTGTCATGACTAGGCCGGCCGGCCAGAATGAAGGCCCCTTCAATCCACTGAAGGCAAGTAGTATTGCACGATACCCAATAAGAAGCATTGTGAACCCAGCACCGCGCGCTTCAAGATGGAACGTCGAGGAGGAGTCGGCACATTCTCAGCCGCATGCATCATTTTGTCGGACACCACGTCAATCTCACAGCCCCCTCCACCCTTTTGTCCCACCAGAGCGCTTGGAACCCCCGGAATCCGATGGAGTTAACAAGGGAGACCAGGGATCCCTTGGGAAATGATACCCCGCGTCTGCTGCGTCTAGTCCTTTGTTGGTTCGGTTGTAGGGATGGAAGCGCCGTGCTGCCCAACCTGATGGCTAGCTGCGTTTGCCTCACTCCCACCTTGACAGAGTTGGGTTTAGGCTCAGCTGCCTAAACGGACCATTTCAACATGGTGAAGGTTTGCGTGTCATGCATGAGGCGCCAATGGCCCGAGATAGCGTGCTAACGGGCACCCGGATGTTCCCCCGAGTGCCGCTGGTTGCTATGAACCCGCTCGAAAGCGTTCAGGCCTGCAGATTCCACATGTGACAATGGATGGCCTCGTGCATGGCTAGCTGGCACCTTGCATGATATGCCCCTTGACTGAGGTCATATGGATTGCTTGAAAGAGAAAGCCCTGTCAGAGCCGCCCTGCCATGACACATGGCCATCGCACTAAGTCAATGTGCAATTGCGGCTCAACAAATTATCCATGTCTCCCTATAATGGTGTGATAAGTCGAAGACAAGGAGAACTCGTCTGTAGCATGTGTATATATAGACCTAGATGGACGTCGTAATCTCAACTGAATTTCCTGGAATAACTAAAGAATCATTTCAATATACTCCATTATCAGACTATCCCATATCTGACAATTTACCAACACCAGCATCCAACTATCCCATATCTGACGATTTACCAACACCAACAGGAGCCATGTCTTCACAGAGTGGAGCAGACCATTACAAGTCCCTAGTAGAGCAATTCTACGAAGCCTTGCTGCTGCTCAAAGCTCTGAGCGGCCTTCGTGACGGCCACGACGGATTCCCTGGGAGACAAAACCTAAGGAAGGAACGCCTCCGAAGCTTCTTGCGAGGTCTGGCATACTTTTGCGACTTCAAGAAGGGGGGCGACACATACACGGGTATTGGCCTCGAGGAGGCTGAGACTGAATACATCTTCTGGGTTACCTCAAACAAGCATCGACCTGAGTTGGCAGCCCACCTCAGTGACATGTTGGATCGCCTAAAAAAGCTAAAAGATGCTCCGGAGGACATGAAAGGGCGTCACAGACGCAGTCTGCAAGCAATGTGTTTCTCAAAATCAGGGAAGCGGATCGGCATGTATCAAACACATTTGACCAAATCCATTACTGATGCCCAAAATCTCCTGACCGAACCGAAGACAAAGCACGGTGAGTTTTTAACAGTTGAGTCAAGGAGTGGAATATTCAATATCTGACAAGATATCTAGATCGAGAATTGTCCTTGTGGATGTCCGGGCTCCTCGAGGCTGATCCAAAGAACTATGTAGAGCTTTGTGATTCTATTTTCACTGCGTCAAAGGAAAACCATATGCTGAGGCTTCTCCGCTCCCGAGCGAAGTTTGAGAGGAGCCTGGAAAATATTCGAGGCAAAAGAAATGCCTTTGACGAAGTTAAGCATTATATTGGCCGTTTGGCTTCTCATACTCGCACGCTCAATCAACTATGCGATTATGTAGATGACCCCCTGATTGAGGAGATAATCCGAGCCCAAAGGGTTCGGCAGATTGATCCTCTCGAACAGACATCAGAATCGACATTGGACATACAAGCAACACTGAACGGGCTTCTCGTTGGGATAAAAGATGGCGCTGAGAGACGAGAAGTCCAGTCTCGGCTGGATGACTTGAACAGACAATGTGAGATTTTCAAGGACATTTCAAATCAGTACAGTTATTTCAAGCCCAGGGTCCACGCGGAGGTTCAGATCCTTGAGCATTTCTATAGAAATAACCTCAGGTTTGCCAACGACGACAAGTTTGTTGGCGGCAGTAAGCCTTCTTGTGAATGCTGTTACCTGTACTTCAAGTACCACCCTGCCCGGATGGTACTTCCGGAGTCATCACACAAGGTCTTCATCAACTGGAGCTTGCCGCCAGTCGCCGAACCTCAGAGTGGAGAGGCCGACTTCACACAGCAACGGAAAATCTTGAGCAAGATGGTCAACGTCCTTATTTATAATGCCGTTTCTGAAATACTGGACTGCAGAACCGCTCCCTGTTGGCGCCCCGATTCTTTGACTGATTTATCCAGCTCCATTGCGTCCTTCCGGCTGCTGGAACCAGATGGTGTGACTGGACCATCTTGACTTGGGCGGTGCTACTTTACCATTTCAGAAAAGTCTTCTTCAAGCGAGTGGATTTCTTTAGGTTATAGACACAGGGAATGCGAATTCCATGGCGAAACTTCTAACGTGACAAGGGATTTCAAAGACGGCTTAGACACGGAAAATGGCGGAGTTTTCATCTAGACAAGCGGCATTGATGTACAATAGTTGGTTTAGTTCGCGTACGTATATTTGTATTTATTGACATTTTTAATATTCCGACAGTGAAGGGCTTTTTTGAAATTTCAGTACCTGATATTTATAGTTAGGGTTGCTGCTCCAGTGCCCTTATTATCGCTTGCACGGATGGAGACATGGCCACTTTGCAGAAACAAGAATGAACAGCAAATTAGACTCATTCTTTTTACAATAGTAGGAAGAGCTAAAAATGACAAGGAGACGGAAGACCGAAACGAGTAAGTAACTACATTCAGTATTTATCATACCAGTGCCGGTATGGCAGCTACATCAATGGCTATTGAGAATGCGGATGACCAGTATTACTCCCCACTCTCAACTAATTACGCTATTCAGAAACAATTGATTGAAACGCACGTGTAGCATCAAGATAGACTCGGCGGCGGAACGATACGTGTTTTGTATCTGCATCATGCTGTTAAGTTAGATGCTGCCATGGTAAGTGAAACCGGATAAGACACCTCATTCTAGCCAACCCGTAATAGTTTGCCCTTCAGAAACGTGGGGGATTACGGATCGGAAATTGTCTCGGGCGTTGAATAATTAGAATCCGATTGGCTTTCCATTTCGGCCCAGCAGATTGGAGGGATAAATATTTCATAGCATCTCCCCTGGATAATGGTACCTGTGGTATGGATCCGCGAAGTCAATTTGAAGAGCACTCGTCAAAGCAAAAGAATAAGCTCAGGCCTGGAATTCGGGTGCCTGTTGGCGTTTCCGCGGATTCCTCTCTACAATTCTCCTCCACTACGGATCGATCTTATGAATGCTTCTGCAATACAGCTTCCAACTCATTTTGAGATCGGAATCCAATACGACACGATAGATGCCAGTGGGAACGCATGTGGATATTGACATCTCCGTGGAGCTGGTGCGCCTCCAGCATGCCGCCGTTGTTTCGAGAGTGAGTTACGTAACTTCAGCCGCATCCGTGGGAAGCGAGACAGAGATCTACCAGTGGTGGAGAGGATATGAAATTTGTGAAACTATGGAATCACATTCCAGTTTGGCAGGGAGGGACTGACGGCTCAAACCCCTGAACATGATGCAATAGTGGTTGATGGATCTTTCTCAGCGGCAGGCAAAGCTGGAGTTAATAATCGGGGGGAAAGTGATATTTGATTTGAGATCTGCAGCAGGAGGAGCCCGTCTGAAGAAGACCAGTCTCAGTTGGAGGTCGTCCCAAATGAGGATGTGACAAACTTCGACGGCTTAGGAATGGCCCAAAGTTGACAACGCATTAAGGACCACACTACCCGGAACAGACGTTATGAGTGGAGGGACTGGCATTCCAGTGGCTAAATTTCAGCTTGAATGGTCTTATGAATTGACGTGACCCGACACTAAGTTCATGTTGGTGAGTTGCTGCTTGCCTTTTACCAGGTAGGCATGAGCATCATAACCGCATCCAGCTCACTCATCACGCCGGGAAATACTATGCAGAATTTTGACTTCACCAATGTCTCGATTCAATAGCTCTCGTCTATTTCTGGCATAATTTCCATTTTTTTGCCTTTAGTCTACGGGATCCTCGCTCGCATCAAGCCATTCATACCTTCCACCCCCTCTCGTCTGTTCACTTTGCTTTTTGTTGGACGCAAAACTTCCAAGCAACCTGCTCTATGATTCAATCATGAATTTTGTGACCATTTCTTAATGAGAGACTTCTTCTGAATTTCTCAGTCACTAGTGGCCGAGGATTTGTCTGTGTTCGAGCACCTGTGTTTCAACCTGGACATTTTCTGCCCTGCCTCAGTAGTTTCACGTCGCTACATTTTCTCCTTACCACAATGAACAGACACCCCGCCTCCTCGTTACCAGCCAGGCTGGTCCCGGCATTGCGCGCCAGGCAGCATAGATATCTTGCAACAACTGCAAGATGGCTTGGATACCCTCAACCTGCTACTCAGCCTGGAGCTCTCTCTCCGCCACCTCTCCATTTGCTTACACCTCACATGGTACCACCACATCTCAAGCGGCAAGTCAATCCTCGGCTATCTCCTCATATCTCTGGGCACCCAGCGCCTCCTCCTGCAGCTCCAGAGCCTCTTATCACCGAGGAGAGCGTGTCCCCGCCTAGTCTTAGCAGTCGATGGTTGTCAGATTTGAGAGCGCAGGCCCAGATACGGATATCCACCGAAGGCCAGGGACCAGCAGTCAACAGTGCTAGACGGGTTTTGAGTCATCTACACGAGAACTGGCTGGATCTTCTTGCTGGATCAGAAGGATACCTAGTTGGCCCTCGCTGGACTGGTTTGGCCAACCAACAAATCTCGTGGGGCGATATGGTAAGTTGCTCATCCCCGCATATCAAAGGAGAACCTCTCTGACTTTTGTCTTCGAAATAATAGGATAGCATGGTTAGTTGATCTTGTTCTAAATCGAAATGACTGATGTGCGCTGACCATAGCTTGTATAGGGACATGTTAACAATGTGATGTATAACCGCTTCGCCGAGTCCTCGCGTCTCAACTACCTACGAGGCTTTGCCCTAGCTTCAGATGAAGAACACAGGCAATTTTGGCTCGACCTAATTACCCCACGGAGCATCGGTTGGATCTTGAAGAGTATGCGTACTGAGTACAAATGTGTGAGTCTCCTTATTGATAGCTATTGTTGTTTCTTTGCAATATCTTATATTAACCAATCACTTACATTGTCGCAGCCTCTTTTCTATCCTGATAATATTACGGTTCTTCATAGGCTGGTAAACCGCCCCGACAAAAATACCGAGAAAATTCTCATGGAGGCTGTGATCATCTCCAATGAAAAGCAGCGTGTGGCAGCTCGCTGTTATGAGGAGTTAGTGGTCTACGACTACCGTATTGGCCAGCGGACCAACCTCAGGCCTTTCATGGTCGAGGCTCTCCAGGAAACATATGACCTACAGGAGAAGAATCGGGTAAAAACAACAACTCATGTTCTGAAGCTTCAGGGAAGCATCAGCTCCCCTAGCAACCAATCAAAATAAAATTAGGTGGAAGAGGAGTTAAGGTATATCAACCACGTGGTACAATGTTATGGCAGGATCAAATCATACCAGGAAAGCAAGCGTATAATGGGCGTTTAAACTACTAGGGATACCAGGCTTAAGATTTGCCTAATTCTAATATATATCTCTGGAAAATTTCTATCTTATAATGCCAAAGTGCTAAATCAGTCATCAAGTCAACATTTCTTTCTTCTTCTTAGCCTACAATTCTTATGCTCCATTACTGTCACATGCCAAACTCAAGGTACCACTGGTAAATCTGATCAGTCACCCATCATGGAATGCAACGGACCTACCTTTCCTAGCGCCGGATAGGGGTCGGCCCCTTAGAAGCCATACCTCAGCACATATCTCAAATCTCGGGAACTAAACCAAGGATAGGGCTTCGAAAGCTAGAGCTAATACACGTAGGTGATGTGCAACAAGCCAACCTAGCTGGGTTCGAGAAAATGTCTCCATGAAGAGCCTTTGTTATTCATGACGTGCTAAATCCACGCCGACGGTATGCTAAGGACCGGCTAGATGGGAATCGTAAAATAGAAAGCAATAAAGTCGCTTGTATTATTAAACAGGGAAAAGTATTGAAATGTTAAAATTTTGGCTAATCTCATAGGGGATTTCGTGCGATACTTACAAAAAGCATCGCAGTTTAGTGCGCTCGGCTAAGCTATAGGTCTGGTTTTACGGTTAAAAAAGATGCAAATCCAAATTTGTGCAAAATGTTTCTTTATCCAAATAATAGATTGCCCTCATCATATAATGCGTTAGTTAATGTATATGTCTTAGTATATAGCCAAATTCATCCATCTTCTAGTTTCTTGATAATATCTTTCAATGAGGAGTTTTGATTCATGTTGATCTGCGTAATACTCAGAGTAAGAGGATAAAACCATCCTAGTTTATCTCTCTAATAGGTTCTAATATCCAACTCAGGCCTCTAAGTAAAACTTATTTCTGCCCTTTGAGTTTTCTTTTTCAAACAATACAAAGAACACAGAGATATAGCTTTCTGCTTTGCATACAACGTCCACTCTTTAAAAGAGAACCTAACCTTGGAACAATACGATATCTCAATCGGGGAGATTGAGATGATGCCATGAAGCAAGTTGAATCAGCAATAGAAAGAGTTTATTATAGGCCAATAGCCAATACGAAGTACCTGTACAGACTAGAAGTCGTACTTAGAAGACTAGCCATTGGTATACGATTTCTCGTAGCTCTAAGAGTACTTGCAAAAACGTCTTGCTTTGATTTTAGTTCCTCAAGTCTTAGAGCTCCAACTCCTGCAAGTTAGTATGGACCAGCAATGCCCAAAGCTGGGTAAGGGTGCGAGAGCATTTACATCCACGCCTAGGTACTTTAAGGCCGCTGGGAGATGATTTATCTAGATCAGTTAGTCCTGCAGACTATAACTTAATTTGCACATTCAAATTTCCGAATATATTCTTGTAAATGCTTTGTCATCCAGTCCTCCGTCAACCATCGTGGGTCGGTCAACATCTTTCCCTACAAACCTCCTCACCGGTTTTTTGACCAGATCATTTCCCAAAACTCACAGGATGTTTCCAAGCTTCGTACGCCACCCAAGCCTGGAATACCCCGACAACTAGCCCGAGAATTCCTATAACAATTGCTATAATAACGCCGACGAGCGTGGCCATCATCATATAGCGAGCAGAGCTTTTGCGCTGGAACCATTTCTCCAGGATACCGCGCGGGCTGGGATCCTCTAGCTCCTTGAACAAGTCCACAAGTCGCGCGCCGAAATAATTGTACGATGTGTCTTCTTCGCCTTCCATCCGATAGATGGCCGAGTCATATCGTAGGCAGTCGGGGTCGAAGGATTCTTTGGCTACCAGTTTGCGGAGGATCTGCTCTGAATCTGAGCCAAAGGGGAAGAGGATCTTTTGCATTGAATCCAGAGCGTCGAGGGCAATCTGTCTAGGAATATTTCCTCTGGGAAATAGGGCATTAGTGCCTGCTTTTTTAGGGGGTACAGCTCTCATCAAAGGTCGTCTTACGTTGAAATAGAGTTCTCAAAGACTAGAGGGTTAATCGTATCTTGAGATGCCATCAAGTGCTCCCTCAAGACGCTTGTGTAATGGTAAATTTCCACAACCCCTTTTTTTACGTCCATCCTCAGATGGTTTCGCAGATCGTCAGTCCCTTGAAACCTAAGCCCTGCATGTTTTATTAGACGTTTGGCTGACAAGGCCGATTTCATATCTCTGATTTCGCCCAAGCCATCGTAAACATGCAAATTGCCTGTATCCTTTTGTGGAAACGCTCTTGACATGAATTTAGCTAGTGACTCATTATATTGCCACTGGATTGGCTGGGTTCCGAGCTCTAGCAGGCCGGAGGGTTGGTTTTCGGCTGAACACTTGACCATCGACATTACTTGTACGGCAAGATTGAATGCCCAATGCTGATCACTGGACGGAGGTGGTTTATCTCGCTTGGAGAAATAATGATGTGTCAATTTTGAGCGTTTCGTATCAGCATAGGTCCGGAGCAGTCCGATGATATCGAAAACGTCCTCATGGTTGCGCAACGCCGGGGTGCTGGCAGGAAGCAGGTCTGGAACATAGGACGACGTGACATATTTGTAATAGTCAAAGAAATGTTCTAACCGAGCTGAGCGCTTCCATGAGCATCCTGAGTTTCTACACGTCTCGCCATTCTGGCACGCTTCGCAAATCTCCCAGTACCAGAGTGTTTGAGTCAGCTTTTGTAGGTCGGCGTCAGTGATGTTCTTGAGCGGGTAAGGAGATGCCAGAGAGCCGATCATATTTGGAGCCTGGATGTGACGGGCAGTTCACTCCCAAGCGAAAAGGCAATCAATATGGGCACATCAACACGTTATGTATGTTATTTGGGCGCCGGGAAAGCCCACCTTGGCAATGTCGTGGTAAGGCGAACGTAAGGCGTTCTCACGGGCTCATCTAATGGGACTGTGGCTTAGATGTTATTGGAGGAGCCCAACCCAACATCTCATAAGTAAGTGAGGGGCTTTGGAGCCCGCTATTAACCCCGGTCTGAATAAACCTATGAGAATCTCTTTTCCATGCTTATACGCCCTTTTCGTTTTTCTTTTTCAATGCCTCTCCCTGCCATGCCCAGCTGTTGATGCCATCAAATGGCAGGTGTAGCAATGGACATCACCCCCGCATCTGCAAAACGGTCAATGGCCGACAATCGACAAGATTCAGGATATGGCTCCCAATTCTCATCTCCTGACGGCAAACTACCTGTAGTAGCCGAGTCCACACAAATTGGGCGCCTCAGCGGCACGAGCCGATCCGTTCCGTCTGCCCCCACGCCCATCACCGGCCTCATAGAATTTGACAAGAGTGTCGACAACGCCACGCTCTCCCGCTTCCGTCATGTGCACTTGATGCTTGAGAAGCCGCTGTTAGAGTATATTCGCGGCTCAATTCGCAAGAAAAACTGCCCGATTGCCATAAGATTGATGGTCCTGGGGCGCTGCGAAGCTGATGCCAAGCCGTGCATTGTCGTCTTGTGTCCGGAGCAGCAATCGAGAAAGGTCAGGAAGTTTTTCGATAAGAAATCTGTCAGGTCTTTGCGTTTGCCCGAAGACGGTCAGCCCTCGTTCGAGGTATTCGTCGTCGGTCGGGCGCCGGAGCCGAAACAGGCAGACGGAGACATTGACGTCCTGATTCCTATCGTTGGCGAGAGCGAGGGTTATACAAACGAGACATACTGTGGAGCACCTATAGTTATCCGGCAGACTTCCGGTGTCGACAACAGGTGCACCTTCGGTGGCGTTATAAAGGCTACCTGGTCGAATGGGGAGGTTAAGCTATACGGGCTAACCGTTGGCCACGTCCTTCTGAGCGACTTGGCGGATGATCTGACGGTCAGTTCGGAGAGCGACCAGGCCAGGTGTTCCGACGACTGGGAATTCGAGCTTTCGGATTCTGAAAGTGATGATGAGTCGGTTGATATGGCTGAAGAAGAGACAGATGATGAGGCTCTACCATTGTGTGTGATGGATGAACTCCAGTTGGGTTTGGCTGACGGCAGTGCGTCTTGGACGGCCCTCGAGTTGGGCAAGATAGGTTCCATTTCGAAGGACTCTCCCCAATATCAATCGGCAGCAACCGACACAAAGTACGGTGAGACACAAGCTTACTACGACTGGGCTCTTATCGATATGGTCAGCTACAAGCCGAACCTCATTCGACCGAGGAAGTTGCCATACAGCGAGGTTCAGGAAGACGGAGCCTTCAAGTCCGGGAATCACGAGCTTGTGGCCACCGCCTCGTCTAGCAGTCTTGGCAAGAGACAGTCCGTCGTCGTTGTAAGCGGATCAGAAGGCCTGAAGCGGGGATCTCTATCAGCTCTACCTTCGAGACTCCTTTTAGGACCCGGAAAAGAGTTTGTCGACGCACTCATACTCAACCTTGACAACGATAAACGTATGGAAACGTTCCCAACTTACCCTACTTTTGGAATCGATCAACTAATATGTGAGCAGAAATTCTCGATGGAGATTCAGGGTCATGGGTGGTCAACGAGAGCACTCTTGAGGTGTATGGCTACGTCGTTGCTGCTGATACATTTGGCGGAGGTTACATTATTCCACTGGTTGAAGCATTCCGCAATATCGCAGACACCCTAAGATGTCAATCTGTCGATCTGGCTACGACAATCGATATGGCAAGTGCCAAACTTGAGCGTATATTCGACATGAACGCCCCCATCTTGGCTGAGCATTCTACGCTGCATAACCCACCCATCTTCTCCTTTACCTCTACCCCAACTACTAACCTCTCCATTGCCTCTAATATCTCCTGTGCTTCTACCCCAGCTACTAGTCTCTCAATGACCTCTAACTACGACGGCCCCTTTACTCTCGTAGATTATCTCGAAGATCACTTGATATTTCCTACCTTTTCCCAGGAGATGCTCGTTGTCCATCCTGAAGACATTGCATGGCCTGCTGACCACAAGAGCTCTGACGGCGGTTTCAACAAAATATCAAGACCTGGGACCCCCGAAGTCACTGTGCACGCTGAGGATGATACTGCCGTGTGTAGCAGGCCGTCACGTCATGTTGACTACTTGTCCCATGACTGGAAGGAAGAGGATATCTGGTCCTCCTGGAGATACATTGTAACTCGGCGCGGCGAGTTTGAACATAGCCCACGATTGGAAAACGCTTCCTGGAGGACATGGATGAAGGTGAAAAACAACCTAAAAACCATTTCGGCTGAAACTATTAATTGGTATGTATTCCAGTAATCTTATACTGAAGGTGATGAATCGCTAACATATCACAGGCTCAGGGATTGCGATGTTACCTGGTTGTACGGCCCTCTACAATCAAGGACCAAGCCCATCCACGATGCCCACACAGAAGTTTCAAGCGACTCCAAGACGGGATCGCCGGCTAATCTCAACATGAAGCCGATCCTCAAGAAGAGGAGCATGTCGAAGGTCATGCTTCAGAGGTCAATTTCCAATGCCTCGCTACTAAAGCAGGCCGCAGCGGCCATGCAGGCCCAAGAATTACGGGGAACCGTCGATTATTTCGGCTACCCCTTCTCTGCAAGGGAAATGGGTGATGAAAACCGCGGCCTAGCAGCCTCGACAGAGTCTTCCGGGATTATGTCACCTAATGCTGAGCGGAAGCAAATTCATTTTAGCGAGCAAGTTGAGCAGTATATGGCTGTTGATGTCAAGGGCATGGAGGTGGACTCAGATCGCTACGGTGACGGCGGCGATTCAGATGATGATGTTATGCTGAAGCAGGTCAAAATCAAGAAGCAATCCCTCCTCAAGAGGCGAGGTGCCAAATCAAAGTCAACGGAAGGCAAGACCATTGCCAAGCTTCCCTCAACGACCCTTAAGTACCGCGAGGATACACCTGAGCCCAAGGAGGCAGCCACAAAGTACCTACACAGCCCACCTTTATCTCCATCATCTTCGCAAGAAACACTACGACCAGCAAAGTCATCTGTAAAGTTCTTGTTAGATGATGACGATGACGAGGAAGGCTTGGATGATGCACTCCTGAGCCCTCCCTCAGCTTAGTGATCTCACCCTCCCCCGGTAGTGCTCTTCGACGACTCCTTTTCTCTACATAATAACCTAAGCGATACACACACCGAGGTGAGCCAGACATATTCGGGCACGCTGAAGTCCTATGAAAACGACGACCCAAACAACGGCGAAGGCATATCTGGTTGAGTTACGATACAAGCGTACGACTTGCCAGTAATTCAAACCATTTGGTTGACTGTTTGAAGCTTAGAAACTAGAGATATGGGTGCAAGAAGAAATGACAGATTCACCAACAACCCAAAATATTGACCGACAATTTTGGAGTTATACCATTGCCAGGTCAATAGGATCGTCTTTTATAGTAAATTGCTAACATAAATGAGATATCATGTGTCTAAATTTGATCAGTCTTTCATCTGAGGATTGGCCTCCGCCGTATTCTTATAGCCAACTAAACTAACGTGAGCTAGTCTGAAACAAAATTGTGATTTCACTGACACCTCCCTAAAGTACACGGTTTACGACCTGCAACGCGTATTCTCCTGAATACGACAGCCGGTAATGTGTCTAACAGAAGGTTAGCTCGACATTGTGGAGTCGGTAGACACGTCGTACCCCTGCCCCTTTATGCCACCAGCTTGTGGCGTTCTCTCATCGGTGCCTACCCAAGCGTCAATCTACGGGAAAGTGGGATCATCGAATGCAGCTCTAGCTTGTAACGAGAATCACCCTAAATTTCCAACACTACATTAGTTCAGCCCTTCAGCCCCCACTACCTACAGGCGCCCATCATCACTGCCAGTTGATATGCGTTGATGCTCTCTCTCAATAATCCCATTTCTGATTCCTTGCGCGATACCCTTTACTTTGAGTTCTTGAAATGAAAAACACTTAGCATAGCGGATTTGGTTCTCATGTGTGATCATATCTAGTTTTTGTGTTAGCTGTATCTCATCAGAGCAATTTTGGCTAGCTCCTTCTATGATATTGCAATTGGGAAAACGCTGTACATCCAGATGACGTTTGGAAATTGAAAGTTTCAATCTAAGCAAACTAAATGTGAATCGAATTAGTATAAGCATGATTGATTGTTTGTCTACAGTGATGTGGCACTCGCGAATTTCACCAGGGGTCTTCACAACTCATGTTGGTTTGCTTGAAGCATATATAGGGTAGGTGAAACAATAAGGGGATCAACCAGTTGTCTCGTACCAGTTACAACGATGTTGTTTCCAACCCTTAAGAATTTGTTTCTCCCCGTCATACGGGGGCATAGAGCTTATTTATACAAAAATTATCTCGATTATTTTATTCAGTCGTCGCGATGCATATACTGTCAGGTTCGCAATAACGGTACTGCATGTAGCCTCCAGTATCTAGTCAAAGCCTTCGCGTAATCCTAAGGATGTATCCTGCTTCGTTCGACTGTGTGTTGACGAAAAGCAATAACATTGCAAATATTTGATGGAAACTAATCCTGAGTTTATTCTAACATCGTCCCTCCCTTTCTTGGACTCGTCATCGACATTGGCAGACTTGGGATCGTAGGAAGTTTAGCATCGCAAATATGGACAATCTACAGCACGCGTCATTTCGCTCGAATTGTTGGCAATAAATCCATGAAGCTTGATATATATAATTTGGTCTGTATAGTTTCTATCCAATCTCGCATGTCGCTACGCTTCTCGATTGGTACGGATGTGAAAGTCGTAAGGATCGTCTACACGGTTTCGCGTTCAGTTGCTCGGTCGGCCGGGGTTGTCTAAAGAACGCTCAAAGAGCACTTAGGAGAAAGATTTTCGCCCTGATACGCATTCTAAGCACATGCAGAATGATATGGTTTGAGTCCCAACAAGTTCAATGGGTGTTGTTGCTGTTGTTTGAAAAAAGGGGTCTTGTTGACATCGCTGGATAGCTTGCCACTGAGAACGCGATCGGGCTACAGGCGTAGGATAGGACAGGTCTTCTCGATTTAAATTCCATAATACGAAATATCACATATTATGTTATTTCGGCATGTTATCGTCCTATCGGTCGTCCTGATGCTGGCTGTTTTGTCGGCGGGGGAACACTCGAAGTACGTTCGTTGCTTGTTGTCATCAATAAACTTGACACCACGATCTTGTTAAAATGGAAACAACATCATGAAAGCATCAACGGAGCTTTTCCTCGGTTCTCGAAGCAAAGTGAACCTCGGTTAAGAATACCAATCTCCTCAAGAGGGAAACCGGAGTTGTTGACTGCCAAGCATGAGCCCTTTGGCTGAATACTTTAGACTTGCTAGGGGTTTACTGGCTATGTCTGGTATTCCCTGTCGTCATCCTATGCCCTCGATGCGAAGCCAAATCGCTGCCCGCGTGTAGAGGCGAACCCACACCGCGACAAGTTCGGAATCCACCAGGCCACCCGTGTCACCAGACGACGAAATACTTGATCGGGAGGACCCAGTCATGCCCAGACCTGTAGAGATTTTGAACTCTGTAGGGTCCAGATTCATGCCCAGACCCTCCACCAAGATTCTCTCTGCCTGTAAGAGATTTCGGACTCTGGGGGATCCAGATTCTCTCCGCCACCACCACCCACACAGACCTCCAAATTTAAACAAAGCGGATGCCCCGGACTATGTCAGATTATTGAATATTATGCTGGGGATGTTTTTTGAAGAGTTGGTCATCTGATGCTAGGTATGATCTTGCAAAAACAGCGACCTGGCTTGAGCAGACACAATTATTGACCCATTATACGGGACAACTCCTATGCCAAGAAGATGTGAAGGATGTTTTACAGCTGTGATCCGATGAATAATTAATTCGGTCCTCGATATATCATAAATTGTGTCCGGATTCAGTAAGACGTTTCAATGTGCCTGTGATCCGAGCCCAGTTCCTTGGCCGATCTCCATCCACCCATTGCAATTTGCATGGCCTTGGGGAGACTCCACCTTTTGGGGAGAAGATGTCACTTTAGTACGGCACAGGCAGAGAGCGTGCAACAGAGTTCGTCGTCCCGGTGTAGTGGTGGGCCGCTTGCGAGTCACTCACCCGTCCGGTGACCATCCTCCATCAGCAACTCCAGCCGCGGGTTGGCTACCGGTGCGAAGGATTCCCACAGTTCAGGTGCCACTTGACACCCGCCTTCACTCGTGTCTGTTTGTTCACCTTGTTTTCCTGCCTTGCCACCCCCGTGGCGCCCCTTAAAAACATCTGTGGGGCCACCTAACTATTCTTCTCTCCCGTAGTATGCACGAAAACGTGACGAACGCCATATGGGCGCGTGGCGATGGATAGTTGGTGGTTTATTGATCACGTCTGGAAAAATGAGGAAATGAACATGTGGATCTGGGAAGAAAATTTCAAAATCACCGGTAACATGGCGATGCCAGGACATCCCTGCGGCAAGAATGAAACACGAGCACAAGTCAATAACACCCTGGATTTATAAATCGTATTGTATGAGCAAGGTACATGGCCATCACGCACGGACGGGGAAGTGCGTTTTCATGATTCGAAGTCATTGAGATTCCATGTTCCATCAAATCTTGGAGAAGTCAAGATGTTGAAGTAGCAAGTAGGAACGGGGATCTAATTTTGAATTTGTTTATGAAAAAAAGATATTCCAAGACTCAATTGCTTTCCATCTCTAATTCAGAGCTTGATGTCGATCAAAGCATCGTCAAAGCACAATATATGCATGTCACATAATGAAATATGGAGATAATTTGAACAAGTAAGATCATATACTGGTCATTAACTATGTAAACATCAATTGCAATAAATATCAGTATTGCATTGTATAAGATGATGTACAATTCCTTCTCTCCATATTTTCTAAATTAACAGCGATGCAAGTCTATCTTCTAAACCTGGCCGGCGCGGCGGCTCTGGTAGCGGGCAAGAAGGTAGTGAAGAGCAACGTAAGAAGCAACACCAGTGAAGCAGAGACCGCTGATGACACCGAAGCCCATCAGGTACTTGGGGGCGTCAGAGGAGGGGAAGAGGTAGGCACCATAGATCTGGGCCAAGTTACCCATGGCGTTGACAAAGGCCAGGGAAACAGCGCGGACCTCATCGGGGACAGTGGCGAAGGTAACGGAGGCGTAAGAAAGAGCGAGACCGTTGGAAGCCCAGAGACCGGAGGCCATGATGACAAGCAGAGCATATCTCGCAGTGTAGTTGTAGACGGCGCAGATGATGATGGAGCAGACCATGGCAACAGTCATCCAGGCGCCGAGGATGAGGCCACGGTACTTGGCGTATCTATCGGCGAAGAATCCGGTGACGGCAGTGGAAACGAAGGCAACACCGAAGATGGGGATCGTCATGTACTGAGCAGCAGTAGATTCGTAGCCAAGACCCTTGACGAGAGTTGGATAGAAATAACTGAGTGTACTGCTACCCACGATAGCTTTGGAGCGGAAGACATTAGCAAGAGATGGGAAAACACAGTGATGCTGAACTCAGGATTAGCTACTCACCCATATATCCAACAACCAGGAGCCAGGTGCGCCAGTTGGTCATGGAGGCCTTGAAGGCTGCGAGGGGAGTCAGGCGGTTCTCCTCAGTGGTGACAGTTCGGGACTCGCTCTGGAGGCGACGGATAGCAAGGGCTCGCTCCTCCTCGTTGAACTTGAGCAGGGAGGTGGTGGCGGGGAAGTCGGGAAGGACGAAGGCGGCGATCAGGGAGAAACCCATGGTGGCAGCACCTTCAACAACGAAAAGCCATCGCCAACCAGCCTTGCCGTGGGCACCATCAAGACCCTTGGTGATGGAACCAGCAAGGAGACCACCGAAAGCACCGGAGAGAATGGCAGCTGAAATATAGACAGCGAAACGCTTGCTCTGTTCCTCCTTCTTGTACCAGGATGACAGCAGCATCAGAATACCGGGGGCAAATCCAGACTCCAGGCAACCCATGAGGGCACGGAGACCAACCAGCTCAGCGTAGGTGGGAGTGAAGGCCATGGCGATAGTGACGCCTCCCCAGAGGAACATGATGGTGGCGAGGTAGATGGAAGGTCGGGTGCGGACAAG